TGGTATGTATTATTGAGAATGTTATACAGGATTCAGAATCCTAATGAAGTGGTCCCACACTTTGCTAGCAGAGAAATTGGAACAGGAATTCTGTTATTCTGAAACATAACTGTTTTACTAGCAAAAAAAAAGAAAAAGCTGACTGTGCTATACCCCTGTAATCTATTTGATGGGATTCCTGTGTGTAAGCATGCTTTGTTAAAAGCATATTGCATGTACTATGCAGAAAAAAAATGCATGAAAATTGCACACGCCAAAAACAAACCAGGGAATCCTAAGGAATTGGCCTAAATCATGTTTCCTGAATGAAACACTGATGCTTAATAAAATGAGACGAATAGAGCTACAAATCACATAGATAGACATGTGACAGTCATTCATGTAAATATATCCAATCTTTCTTGCGTTATCCAGATATACGACTGGTACAAGATATGGAGATCCCGGCCCAGCTGCCGTCAAATCGATTCATACTGTGCGATAAAGCCAACATGGAAAACCAAATGGCAATCACAGAAAATATCGATGAGTATGACCATGGAATTGTCCGTAGACATTCATCGTCAAACTCACTGAATTCATCAGGTGTAAGTATTCTACGTCGGTTGATTCTTCTAGTTGTACTGTAATATTGAGTTGACGTCATTATATTATTTTGCATGGTTGATTTTAAAATATGTAGAAAAAACTAGAAATCTATTTATCATGGTTTTATATTCTATTGAAAAATGACAAACAAAATATAGTTTTCAATTTTTGTCATGCATGGATATTTATTTACTTTGAGTGTTGAAAATATATATGTCATCTGTTCGCTGTATAAAAATGAATTCAGAGACAGAAATTTAAAATACCAACACAGGGGGGCGCTATTATGTTGTTCAAACAGACACTAGGTGGCGCTGTTACCACATTTGTGTTTATTAAATACAATTGTGACAATGGTATGCATTATACAGGATTCAGGGTCGTAGTAAACTGGTACCACACTTCACTAGCAAATAAATTGGAGCAGGAATAATTGTTATTCCCAAACATATTAGCAAAAAAAAAAAAAACTGGCAGTGCTATACGACTGTTATGTACTGATGTAATTTCTGTGTATAGGCATTCATTGGTGAAGCATGTTGCATTCTGGGTATGTTGCATGGTTGTGGTGTTCTCAGATCTTGGTATGTGTAAAGAAACTAATAATTCAGTTTAATTTATTCAGCTATACATGTATTGTACAGTGCATCATTTAATTGGGCGCCTCTTTTCAATGCATTTGCAGAGGAGATATTGCTGAAATCGTGAATTGCCACACTTTGCATTTTTGATGTATTATGCATATATTATGTTAGTTATGAGGTAATAATGGGGATAATACTGAATATGTATTGCATATTTTTTCCGTTTACTAAAATGGTAATGCACTCATGGCACAGCCAAGCATACACTCTGTGAATACCACTTCAACCACAGAGTCCAATCTAATACCAAAGTTAGATATATTGAATAAATTGGAAGCGGAGGTAAGATTGGGAAAGTAACTGGATTTTTTTTTTAACCTTGTGCCTGCTTTTGACTCTACCCTAAAATCTGCCTAAATATAATTTTTTTGTTTGTGTGATGAAATTATTATTATTGTATAATTATTTGATTAATTTTTAATTGAAATTCACATATTCTTCTCAAAGTATATCTTCTTTTGGTGTCAGTCGAGTTCTTTTGCCTCAGGAAAACGCTTTAAATCTGACCTTTAACCCCTGACCCCATTTCCCCCCCTTACACTGAACAGTACCGTCTCATCCTTTAAATGTAACTTTTGGTGCATGATTTGTGACAATAAATGTGACAAAAGTTGACTTTGACATTCAAAGGATTAATCATCTTAATCTATATTTGAACCCTAGCATGAACTTCAATTTGTCTTTTGTGCTGAACTGTTTTTGACATTTAGGGTTTCAAGCCCATGGCTCTGACCTGTATTATTTTTTCTCAATACTATTTTTTTTTTCTTCAGTTTTTCTTTTTAATTATCACATTTTGTGTTTTCATTATCAATATATCTTTTAATTTTTTAGCCAGTCATGTATTCTTAAATGAATCCTTGGAATCGGGCTATCTTTACCGAGCATTCAGACTCGTTGAGTTGCCAATGACTCAATTAGAATATCAAAATACCTAGACACTGTATTTGCTCTATTTGAAATGCAATATGAGCTCATAAAAAAACAACTATTTTAGTGTGACTTCATGTACACTGTACCTTAGCTGTACTGGTCAATGTGTGCTGGTGATATAGGATGTACAGTACCATATTTTCTCTATTAGTAGCACATTTGCTTACATAAATGACAGAGGTAGTTCCTTAGTCATACTAATGAATCAGGTTTTAATGATTTGATATACCATAAATGCAATTTTTGATTCGTTGGAGATGCTCTGAAAATAGAGCAAATATGGTAAAGGTATTTTTTAGATGTAATGAAGTCGTGCATTCTGAACTTAAAGCATACCACCACAGTTATATTTCTGTAACTGTCACTGCAATAGAAGTAGGATAGTTATGAATTTTTTGAAATATTTGTAATATACACTGCAATTGACAGATAAGTACACGTAAGCCCTGAGCTTTCCTTGATTTACACAAATGATGATGTAAAACACCCTAAATCTAATGTAAACCCAACATGTGCCTGTAGTGTTTTAACACTGTGCTGGGTGTATTTATTTCCAGATGGCGTCTATCGAATATGAGCTGTCCCAGGACTCTGAGGAGTCCAATCAAGCTGCAGCCACTCAGAAGTCGTCCAGAGACGCCCAGAAAGAAGAACTTCAACTCAAAGTTGTAGAGGTATTCATGCATTTTGTTCTTTGTTTGGGTTTGTCTGTACTGACTGGTCTTGAGAATAATGGCCATTTGGTGGCCATTTTTGTCAATAAAACTAAAGACATTATTTGAACATTGCCTGAACTGTAACAGACATAACAACTCCAGTCAAACTTAATGATACAGATAAATTTTACTCTGTTGCTCAGTTATGGCAATATCTTTTTGTCAGTATATACACAGTTGTTATAGCAACTGATTGTTTTCACAATGGTTCAACCTACAGCTTGAAATGCAGTTATTAAAACTGGAAGATAATCTGAAGACAGGTGCTAATCAGCTCTCGTCTGTCAAGAAAGAAAACCAGAAGCAGAAAGCAAAGGAGAAAAAGGTAGACTGGGTAAATAAAGTATCTGGTCATGTTGTGATGAAAATAAATTGTGCATAAACTAAAATTAATTTTGTCTATTTTGTGATACTCACATTTTAATGTGACGAACAAGATGACCAGACACTAAACTTCTTTTGAAGGGGAAAGCTAGAATTCTATTTGTTATGTTTCATTGAAATGGCAAAGAAGGAAAATAAATCACAAACTATATTAACCACCCAGTACCATAAAATGTTGATTTTACTACATTGTTGCTTTTCACTCTTCAGTTCATGGTACTGCAGAAAACAGTTAGCAAGTTATTAGATAGTTATAAGAAGGAACAGTCGGTGATTAAGAAAAAACTGACGGATCAAAGCAGGAAAAGAGAGGGTGAGTTGTATTTTTAGATTTTGTGGATTGTGTATGAGGATATAATACTAGTACTACTAAATGAATGATTTTGGCTTTATCTGAAGTATCTTGAACCTTGTTGCTATTTTACATCATTTGAACTAAATTTGAAACATGACATTCAATGAAAATTCTCAAACTGCTAGCTAAGTGTGTTAATGCAATATGGCCACAGACCCACAAGCAGTTAGGCAATTTATAGCTTCACAGTAGTAAATTCGCTATTGGGTTGAGAGTGAGATTATGGTTTGAAGATTGTGTATGTGGAATTTGTGGGTGGTGGTCACAGTAAATCAAGTGGAAGACATGCAAGACCAACTCAATCATTTGCACCATCATCAGTCAGAGTCATAGTCAAATTTATGGTGCATCCGTTCTGGTCAAACACCCTAGTTTTGCATCTCCAGTAAATTCTGAACCTATATTATGAATATGACCAAGCCAAAGTACCAGTGTATTTATCCAGAGTGTATCACTGTGACAGTTACTGGAAGTACTGTGCATATTATGGCTTCACAAATCGATTGGAAAGCATGTCAGACATTCAGTCTTATGTTGAAAACACAACAACTACATGTATCACCCATATTCAAATTCTTTGTCTGTTCTTCTCAGACGTACTGCCGCTTGCCATTGCTGACCTGAAAGCCAGTTTAGAGCGTACAACTCTGGATATACAAACCAAAGAAAAACAGATACAGAAACTAAAACAAGAACAACAGGATGTGAATGAGCAGGGAATGAGGTAATGAATGTGTCTTCATTTCCGATTCCTGGACTACCATATTCGCAGCTCATTTGCTTTATAATGTGATTCTAATTAAGAAAATATGGTATTTATTTTGTTCTTTCTTAGGTGTAATTTCCTTTATAGGAAATCCCTTTCACAGAATTGATTCTACTGAGAACATTTTAGTCTTGCAACAATAGCAACTGTTATCGAAATCTTACACCAAAAGTACATATAAATAATGTCTAAATCATTGATTTTATAGATACCAGGTGGCCTCGCCTACAAAAAAGTTTAAATGTTTTTTGTGTTAATATTTTTTCTGTGGATATATAAACATCTTGACATCCTTAGAGCCAATATTAATTATTATAAAGCTAGCATTGCCACCCATGGCGTTGGTTCATGTCCACACATTCTCTTCATGTCAACACAGTATGATTTCTTTTGTATATGCATACCTGTAACAAAAGCCACCAATTTCTAACTGTCTGATGTCATTGATTCTCTAGAAACATTGATGTCATTGAACTGCTTGAGTTGGAATACAAAGTTGCTTTATCGGAATGTTCATTGTTACATTTACAACATAAGCATGTGACGCAGTACGCAGAATTTGAACTCGCTAAAACCGAGCATTTATTGCTGCAGGAGAAGGTGAGAACCGGCATTTGTTAGACATACCTTGTATGTCAGTAGTGTGTGTTGTCATTCAAGTAACTTTCTCATATGGTATTTTATAATTATTTGTGATTATATTGCCCACCATAGTTTGGGCAGAAAAGCTGTATTGTCGTCATTTTCAGTAACTTGGCGAAAAATTAAATCGGTGGTCGTCGGTTATACTCATCAAAACCTGACACATTTAACATTCACTAACTTTTTTATGTTTGGCTTTGATTCTAGTGCATACTAAACAACCTATTAACCTAGGAAGTGTCGGTACCGTACATAATTTTCAATGTTCAAAGTTTGCTCAGGACGTAATAGTAGCATGAATCATGAAAAATATCGCCTAAACTCAATCACAACAGAATCTACAGTACTGTTCAGATAAATGTATGCTTTTGATGAGCAAGTGTAATAATTGTAAACTGTTTCATCAAGAAACCAAAAAAAGACATTGCTTTACATGGTTGTGTTTCTAATAGATCCATAGTTGAGCACCTTTTCAGCTTATATGCGTCTGTCTGAGATGTGTTTCTAATTACGGTACCATATTTGCTCTATTAGAAGCATGTGAGAGCCAGTAATATTTATTATCATACACTCGGCCTCGTAAAGTTATGGAAAGTGCGCCCTCACATCAGGGCAATAATTTCCCTTATCATGCCTGGCCCAGCACGCCTGGCTTTTCTTAATCAAAAGAAAACACCTCATTCTTAATTAATAACGTCGTGTGGTTGAGATCACGCCATGCTAAAATTGTGATTACACCTATAGGGTATATGATAAAACCTTTATGGACTTGTTTCAGCTTTTGCTGCCCTCATTCATATGGCTTACAAGTCCTCGCAAGCTCGTGCATTTCTGTTGCACGACCTTGGGCCACAAAAGCTGTATCTAGTCCATAAAGAATATTTGATTTTGTGCTATTAATGCCATCTTTATACAAAAGATTACCTATGTGTATGCGCTTCTCATAGAGCAAACATGGATTACATGTATATGGATCATCCTACTGGGATGATCTCTTGAGTAGATTTTATTACTTCCAAACCACGCCCATTTCTCACACTAAGATTATTATGAATATTCATATTGTTCTTATGTGATTAATAATTACTTGCTTACGCACTAATACATGCACCATTTTTGTTTTTATGTACGCTTGTTTTTGTTTGGACCTGTCCTATCCTTCCCACCGCTCTACCCAATGTGTTCACTTGTGGGTGTCGTTATTGTTTACGTTGTTGCACCGCTTTACGCTATGATGTCTGTTTTTGTACGTGTAGAAGAAACAAGAAACCCGGGTAAGATTTCACTTCATACTAATAGTATACTGCATGTCATTAATTTCATATCCACCGTGTGGGGTTTCTTTTACTCTCCTGGGTCACATCATGGTTTCCATGGTTACATTATCATCATATTGATGGTTACGTATCTTGTAACACACATATTGTTCACACCATTATGTCAGATTATTTTACAGTATAGAAGCTTTATTTCACCCTTATGTAGTCAACATTTGCATCGTTGCAATTTTATCTTTTTCTTTTTTTTTTCCCATTCTTTATTTATCTTTCTCTGTTACTTTCTCTGTCAGTGTACGAAAGGGTCTGCCCAACCAATGACATTTCCATTATCTAGAATGCATTTCTGGTAACCTGTGTAATGTTTACTGGTCTGTTAAATTGCTATCTGATTTAACCTATCAAGATAAAGAAAATATCGAAAAATACATCATTAATATCAAAAGCCGCCAATGTCAACTATTTCACACACAAAATCACTGTAACTGTGATCCTGATCTGTTGCTTTTATAGAAAAAAGTCCATTAACCCATTTGGTTTAAAATTAATAAAGAAAAAATTGACAAAATACACAAATTGCAAAATATTTTATCGGGAAAAATGTCATTCAAATGTAAATTTGAAATAATAAATAATCTTTTAAATTACTTTTGTGCGAGACAAATTTAGTGAATATTTAGGGAAAATTTATTTTTGTAGCAGTGAATATATATTCCTGAAGTTCTTTAGACTGATTGGCAGTGACTTTGGTTTAGTCTTTGAATTATCACATTGCAGAACTTAAAAGTTCATAAATTTGACACAAAACTGACTTTCGGTAAACTTAATTTGTAAATTTGGAGATTTTTTCGCACCAACTAAATTTCACATTAACGTGTCTAAAGCACCCACTGCTACAATACAGTTAATAGCGATTCTCATTCATTTTTACATATTATTGACACTGACTTCTCGTTCTTCCTTCCGTCACATTTGTTTCTGTTCGTTTTCACACTTGCTGTGTCTGCTGTGTTTATTTTTTAACCCAAGAGTGCAGCACACATATTATTTTCACAAATATCTTTCTTTTAAGTTGAACACCAAATGACTGACAAATTTGTTCAGTTTATTGGCGTTTTTGGTTTGTAAAGATTCTTTTAAAATAAAGTTTAATATGATGAAGGGTCTGGAAAATGGTTTTTGGTTTACAGGGGCTTTCGCTTTATAGAGGTGGTCAGTTTATAGGTCTCTTGTATGTGCAATGTTTACGCTAATCCAGTATTGATTTGATTTGATTTGCACAGCTCACTATTTACCAATTTAGACTGTCGATATAAGATGAAGATCCTGTGGACGTCATTTGAACAGACTGCCACAAAAAAAAAGAAAGGCCAAGTTATCTATCATTTCAAGATGGCAAAGCCATGTAATACATGCACTACTAATTCATGTGCACAGGAAAAATCCACCAAAGATGAACATGAATCTTTTCTTTCAGGTTGGCTGTTTTGTTCTCACTCATGAGATCTTCATCTCATATCACCCTAATGGCATGCCCTTATTTCTATCTGCCTTTGGAAATATCTACTGTCTTAGGGACTTCGTTCTATGAGGAGCTTAATTATAATTAATTTCTTATTTTATTTTTATTTATTTATTTAATCCATTTCTGACTCAAAAGCTTGTATACAAATAATTTTCATTATATGACCTAGAGCGCCAAGTCAAACTTACAAGATTAGAATTAACACATAAGTCAATTTCATTTTTTGACAGGCAAAACAAAAACAACATTCAGTTTCCATGCAGTCTGTGCTTCCTTTACAAGAACCCTGTTTCATCATCGCTATGGAGATCATCCCTGGTCACCATGGATACGACTTTGTTATCTCATCCAGTGATTATGAGGAGGACGGTGTGTATGTTACATCATGTGAATTAACCAGTCAACTGAGAGAAGGGGACAGGTAAGATATTGTGAAAATGTATACCTTGGGTGGTCGTTTCATGCAGGTTTATTCGTATTTGAACTTCTCATCAGATTAATTTTAGTTCATTTGACATTATCAAATATCTATATGGTCAGGGGCATCCATGCTTGTGTGTAGAATGTGTGCCAGTGTGTTTTAATTCTTTTACTTCTGGTCAGCAAGTGTTTCTAAATATGTACTGAACACATGCTGTCTTGAAGTGTCTTGTACAATGCATCATGGGGAAAGCTAGGCAGTGAAGATGTTTGCATCTTAGTAGGATTTTTTTTTTCGCCCTCTCGCATTAGTTTTGGGGTCTCCAGAGGATGTCATCCATAAATTTAAATCAGTGTGGCCTAAATAAAATTAAAATAAATTACGCCCTCTATTGTTTAAAAGTTTTTGTCATGTCAAAATGGCGTAGGTGGCTGTAAGCATGAACTATATTCAGCTGTAAGCAACGTCGTTCAAAGAAACAATTTGACTTGGTTGTGAAGTCGTAAGAATCAGTAAATATCTCTTAAAACAGACTACGGATATTTTAGTGAGATAATTGATAATTTAGGATCGCTGTTTTCCAAACTATTTAAAGAAACATGCATGGTATCACTAATCTGCACACATCACACATACATGTATTTAGTATTATAAAGACATTAAAGTTGTATTCTGATTTTGTTACATTGAAAAAAACAAAAACAAAAAAACATGCTAATGTTTTGTCTGAGTGGAGACGCGTTGGAACAAAGACAAGCAGGTCTGGGGTCAAACTGAAGTCATATGCTAATCAGCTATTACGTGAATAATTTGCGATTGACCAGGACTTGGTTATTTCCGTCATGCTTGTATTCTAGAAAAAATAATGAAACGTCAATAAATCATAAGTGAATCTTCGATGACTGCAGCAGATAACGGTAGTACAATTATTTTCATAAAGTGGTGGTTTTCGAAGAGAACGCAGTGTCCATAACTGTTCAATGCAGTCACATAATGTAGTTTTTTTTTTACTGTTTACCGTAGTTATAGAAAGGAGATGACTCCATTTGTAAACATGCTAATGATTTGACTTAGTCTAGACACTTTAGAACAAACAAAAATGAGAAAGTTGGGGTCAAACTGACGCCATATGCTAATCGACAACTACGTAAATAACTTGCGATTGGCCGTGACTTAGTGATTTTCTGTCAGCCAAGAAAAATAAATCGTAACGTAAATTGTGTACAATTATTTTTAAGAAGTGGTGGTTTCTGGAACGACCGCAGTTTTCTCCACAGAATGGAGATAATTTTTCCCTCCAAGGTTGCAGTTTCCTGAAAAATTAATCAAATATATGTAAGATCATGATTTTCTTTTTCTTCTGCTCCATGGTTAGGTCAACAACAATCTGCATGCGACTTTAAAATACACAATCAATCAATCAATCATTTAGCTTTCTTGTCTGACTTTCCTTTCAATTTCTTTGTTTCACACACACGCCAAAATTGCTATGAAAAGAAACAATTCACCGTGTCTGACATTAGGTTTACATTTTTGACAACCTACATGTTTACCGGCAACGTATATGTCTCAGGCACAATATTTTGATTTTGAAAATTGGCGTTGGGAACATTTCTCGAGTCACATGTCTATTTTTAGCTCCGCTGTCGACTTTGTCAAGCGGAGCTTATCATATGAGTGATTGTCCGTCGTCGTTCGTGTCAATGTTTTACTTTTTCGACTTCTTCTTGAAAACTACAAGCCTGAATGCTTTGATACTTGGTGTATATGTACCTTGGGTAGACCTCTCTGAGGTTTGTGCATTTCATGTTGATATCTTCAATTCTCTAATTTTGGTGAATATTTTTGTCATTTTTGGTAAAAAGTGATATTTTCGAGTTCTTGTTAAAAACTGCAAGTCCGATTGCTTTGATATTACATATATAGGTACTACCACATGTGGACCTCTCTCAGATTTGTTCATTTTGTGATGATATCTTCAATTATCTAATTTTGGTGAATATTTTTGTAATTTTTGGTAAAAAGTGATATTTTCGACTTCTTGTTAAAAACCAAAAGTTCAATTGCTTTGATATTACATATATAGATACTACATGTAGACCTTTCTCAGATTTGTTCATTTTGTGATGATAGCTTCAATTCTCTAATTTTGATGAATATTTTTGTCATTTTTGGTAGAAAGTGATATTTTCGACTTCTTGTTAAAAACTGTAAGTCCGATTGCTTTGATACTATACATATTGTTCATTTTCTAATGATGTCTTCAGTTCTTTAATTGAAATGTGCATTGCTAGCAGCGGAGTTATCTCAGCCGATAGGCTGCTTGTTTATTTTATTTTCAATATAAAGTACTACAGATATGGAAGTAATATCGACAACACATGTTTTTCCATTATCACCCGTTCACGCCAATCACCACGTTCTCCATGTCGAAATTATCAGAGGGTGGCCGCTAATAGTACAGTCATTGTGACTGAAAATAGTGTGAAAATGTTCTCCACTCAGACTCATGAAAATACAGCATAAATATGGGACTTTTCGCTAAAGGAGATCACTTGCTCAAAGTCTTTCATTAGATCTTAAAGCACACTCGATTTCTCGTCTGTGACAATGTCTTGAATTGATTCGTATTTTGTCAAAGCCACGACTGAAGTTCCAGCTATCCCGCCTTCGATGTATCGTGCAACCGTATCAGTTGCAAAGAAAAAACGTCCGGTTTGTAGGCCACCAAAAAGACCGCAATTAGAATTTACTGGTAATGTCAATCTACCAACGACCGAACAAACCGTTCCAGACGCAGCTCCGCTTGCTGATGCCGAACCAACACCAACGATTCCTTCAACACCAACCAACACCACGAGGGCCGCCAGAGGTATCTACAAATCCTTTAACATCAAACAACGCCGCGAAACTTATGAGGAGGCCAAGATGATGGGATTTAACGCCACCGCACGGAAATATAAAATAGTTCCTTCGACATTGAAAGGGTGGGGTAAATATGATTTCGATAAGGAACATTTTACAGCGGGTAGAAGAAGACATGGAGGAGGTCGTGTTGTCTCGTATGGCACACAATTGGACGAACACGTCCTTATTTGGGTTCTACAGCAACACGACCTGCAGATCCCCGTTACCATGGACGCAATACGCTGTCATGTACTGTCAGTCATCAAACCTGAGTTCCCGGAGTTCAAAGTATCGCGTGGCTGGTGCGAAAAGTTCATGAAGCGGAACAAGCTGGTCTTGCGGTTAAAAACTTCTGTGGCACAGAGGCTACCTGCAGACTTGGAAGTGAAGACATTTGTCCGTGACAAAAGAAATGATGACAATTTTGATTATATCGGAAACATGGACGAGACGCCAGTCTTTTTCGATTTAGTTCCGAACAAAACTGTGGAAGTGAGAGGCGTCAAGACTGTGAAAGTCCGCACTACGGATGCAGAAAAAAGACACCTGACAGTTGTTTTGACAGTGATGTCAAATGGAGATATTCTGCCCCCAATGATTATTTTTAAGGGTAAAAGGAAATTGAAGCTACAATCTCCACCCGGTTTTATTGTAGCTGTCCAAGAAAAAGCATGGATGGACGAAAAGTTAATGCTGCGTTGGATAGACGAGATTTGGAGGCCTTTCACCAAACGTCGCTATTCAATGCTCGTTATCGACTCATTTCGAGCGTACATAACTGAATCTGTGAAGTCAAGATATCGTGGCGTTAACACTTTACCGACCGTAATTCCTGGCGGTTGTACATCTAAACTCCAGCCTTTAGATGTCTGTATCAACAAACCGTTCAAGTCTGAACTTCGAAAGTCATGGACAAGTTTTATCAGTGATGCTGCTATCAAAGCAACACAGGCTTATACCAACGATACCCGACTGAAGACAGCAGACAAGCAAACTATTGTCAACTGGATTGCCAACGCATGGGAAAAAATACGTAATCGCCCATCCATGATTTCACGATCGTTTAAAGTTTGTGGTATAAACGAATGCCATGAACGGTGCCGAAGATCTTCTCATCAGGAGCAATACAGAATAGCAGGCATCATTTCTGATTTACTGTTGGATGATGATGACGAGAACGACTGGTTTGAGGGATTTACGCAGTCGGAGCTGCAACAGTAACCATCTCTCACTTGTACCGTCTAACGGTAAATCAAACAAAACGTCCCTTTTCAGGGCCACCACATCCTCCAAAAAGAGATATATCGTACCATATTTTTATCGCCTGAAAGAATGATCGATTGAGCAAGTGTGTATGGGTGTATATTTTATTTTTTATTGAAAAAAATTCCAAATGTGTAATTTTTGTTTATGTTTTATGTGAGTGCTTAGCGTGCAAAACAAACTTGATACATTTTGTACACAATTAAACAATTTATCTCGTTGGGTGGTACACGTAGCGCGTTGAATTACTGCTTGTTTTTCGTTGCAGTTGGATTATCAAAATTACACTCCTATAGTTCGACCAGCCAAACTACACCCTAATAATTTCACCACCCCAAAAATATTTTCTGTTTTTCTTCTATCAATTCAGCCACTTGCAAAAATAATTATTTTTTCCTGGTCTAATTGTTAGAAGAATTACGGTACTTAAAACATTACCCCCCCCCCCCCCAAAATCAACAAACCAGTATAGGTTACAGATTACTAACAGGGGCTATATCATTTATTTTGTTTACTCAGAATAGTGGAGGTGAATGGTGTAAATGTCTGTGAAGCAACAGATGCTGAAGTCAATACGATGCTGAACAGCAAGATGTCTTCCATTATCGTGGTACTGAGACTGGAACAGAAACACCCAATAAGGGACGATGAGTTGAAGTCTGTGAAGGACGACCTCTCGCTGGTCAGAGAAGAACTACTGAACGAAAAACAGAAACGTTGCGCCCTAGAAACAAACGTCACAAGGTATAAAAGCGATTTATTCATGATCTCCAAAAGTCATATGTCATGGAGTAAAAATCCATTATTCAAGCTGATTTCTCAGTTCCTTTTTTCAAACTATTATCATTGAATTTCCAATTTCCAAGTATAATATCGAATATTATTGCAGCAGTTTTAAAACAATACCCCACAAAAATATCAGGATGCCTAGGTTGCATTAACTGCTGTGATTTAATTTCACCCTTTCTGTGTGAGTTGAAGCGACTTTTATACAAGAATGGCTCCCATTGATTGTTCACTCAAGACTCCTGGCCAATCAGGGTACCGGTACTTTTTTTTTAATTATCAAGGCTTCATTTTCTGATTTATACAGTTTGATTAACTCTACTTACAGTAATTTCTGTGGCCTGGGATGAAAATTAATCATTTAGTGTACAGTCACCTTATGGCAGTGTGCTTGTTGTAGCGTATACCATGCTGAGTTTTAGTCTCATAATGTATTTTGTATACAGATTGAAGAGTTTGGAAACCACAGCGAGGAGAGCTGAGTTCGCAGAGAAGAAAGTACACCACCTCAGTGTAGTGGTAAGTTGATACACTCTTACATTAGTTCTAAATCTTTGGTCAGGTTTGAACTTGGTTACTTCTGATCATCAAGAAAGGGCTACTACTATGGTGGTTTCTGGGTTGGCACCATGATAGGTTGGTCGAGACTTTAAATCCAACCTTGAGTATAACACCACAAAAAGAAATTAACCCCAACCCTGGATGTGTGTGCCACAGGCTGAATAGAAAAGCCAAAGATGCTTTACCCTGGAGTGAGTGTGACACAGGCTGAATGGGGGAAAGCCAAAGATGCTGTACCCTGAGTGAGTGTGACATAGGCTGAATGGGGGAAAGCCAAAGATGCTGTACCATGAGTGAGTGTGACACAGGCTGAATGGGGGAAAGCCAAAGATGCTGTACCCTGAGTGAGTGTGACATAGGCTGAATGGGGGAAAGCCAAAGATGCTTTACCCTGAGTGAGTGTGACACAAGCTGAATGGGGGAAAGCCAAAGATGCTTTACCCTGAGTGAGTGTGACACAGGCTGAATGGGGGAAAGCCAAAGATGCTGTACCCTGAGTGAGTGTGACACAGGCTGAATAGCAAAGCCAAAGATGCTTTACCCTGAGTGAGTGTGACACAGGCTGAATAGAAAAGCCAAAGATGCTTTACCCTGAGTGAGTGTGATACAGGCTGAATGGGGGAAAGCTAACGATGCTTTACCCTGAGTGAGTGTGACACAGGCTGAATGGGGGAAAGCCAAAGATGCTGTACCCTGAGTGAGTGTGACACAGGCTGAATGGGGGAAAGCCAAAGATGCTTTACCTTGAGTGAGTGTGACACAGGCTGAATGGGGGAAAGCCAAAGATGCTTTACCCTGAGTGAGTGTGACACAGGCTGAATGGGGGAAAACCAAAGATGCTTTACCCTGAGTGAGTGTGACACAGGCTGAATGGGGGAAAGCCAAAGATGCTTTACCCTGAGTGAGTGTGACACAGGCTGAATGGGGGAAAGCCAAAGATGCTTTACCCTGAGTGAGTGTGACACAGGCTGAATGGGGGAAAACCAAAGATGCTTTACTCTGAGTGAGTGTGATACAGGCTGAATGGGGGAAAGCCAAAGATGCTTACCCTGAGTGAGTGTGACACAGGCTTGAATGGGGGAAAACCAAAGATGCTTTACCCTGAGTGAGTGTGACACAGGCTGAATGGGGGAAAGCCAAAGATGCTTTACCCTGAGTGAGTGTGACACAGGCTGAATGGGGAAACCCAAAGATGCTTTACCCTGAGTGAGTGTGACACAGGCTGAATGGGGGAAAACCAAAGACACTGACCAAGTTTCATTCACTAAATAGTTGTGATTTTTTTACAACACTTGAGAAGTTTCTGTGGCCACACCTGTGGTACATCTAACTAATTATATGGTCAGCTGATTGGCTGACAGTACAGCTGTATTGAAGATAATATTATCTCTAAAATTGAAAACAATCTACTGGCTTCCTGAAAGCAATATTGCTTGCACCAAAGTTGTATTATCAGCAAATTACCTGATGATATTGCTGGCTAGGCATATGAAAGATGTTCAGAGCCAAAGTAAGCTATGCACTGTAGGTTCTTGTGTTTAACCCTGCCTGGTTTACACACCTATTTCAAATTATGTTACCATTTGACAGTTAAGATGGCCACTCAGCTGCGTTACAAAGTCCCAAATTTGGAAGTCTGTGTGACCAAATAGATCTTGTTGCAATTTGCACTTTAAAAAAATTTGAAGGGACAATAGTGATATTCAAGGATTGTAGCCAGACATTTGTATATTTTTCATAAAAGTTATTTCTCCTGGTGGTGTAAATAATGTTTGTTGTTCTTGAAATCATTACATTGAGTGTAAGATTTGTTTCGAAAAAAATTTCAACCCAGGCACGCAGAGAAAAAACAAAGCATGCAGAGACTGTTGCAGGGAGAAGATGTTGGCTCATTCCAGAAAAAGAAACATGGAAAAAAAATTTGCACCAGTCACACTCTTCTAGCCGTCCCCTACGATTTCAAACTTTGTAAATGATCATTTTTATTATGACAGTTGAGTGATTCTCAGTATCGTTGTGAAGAGTTAGAAAATAAAGTTGATGAGTTTGAGAAGACAAAGTCAGTCGTCACAGACACTGAGAAGACTCTAGATCACTTACAACAACAGAATCACAGATCAGAGGTTTGTTATTTCAGTATTATAAATAAACACTATAATATGCAGCATTGTGTTTGAATTAATTTAATATCTGATGCTATGAGATCCCCAACTTGTTCAGTATTGCAGTCTTCACTTTATCCTGGTAACTTGTGTCGCTGTTTTGACTTGCTCAGAATTTTCAGCATTCAGTTTTTCATGGGGATGGCTGGCTATAGAGCCCTCACACATTGGGTAATTGAGTGAATTCCTGCTTTGTTGCTTTCCTGTTGCTATTTTTAGACTGGACTCTCAACCGCTGACTGCCATTACACTTTTTAATTTTGTCCTGGAAGTCTATGGGACTTTAATGTGCCAAGAAAAATGTCATAAGACCTGTCGGCGAAACGCAAGTGGCCAATTTTCATTACTCTGCTCTATCTTTGTACAATCAATTTTTAGTATTTGGAGATGGCCATTTGTTTATATTGTATGGGAGTGTTTGTATAGGGGTGACTTGAAATGATCTCGACATCATCACTGATATTTAGTTGTTTGTTGTGTGAAACCCAGATGTCCCTCGGCCAAGATCAATTCAAGGACTTGATTAGTCTCTTGTGTCTAATTGCATATTCATTTCCACCTCCTTCACACCTTTGCAAACTTTGTAATTGTTTATGTTGAGGGGGTAGTTTCCTATTACACATACTCATGTCACACATGTATTTATTACAGATGGAAATCAATAAATTACGTGGTGCTTTATCTGAGAGTGCTCACAGAATAGCCAAATTGGAAGACATATGCAAACATAAGGTAAATAATCTGCTTGCCAGTCTTCTTCAGTCGTATACCTTATGTATGGTGTGGTGTTATGTATATACATCAGAAAAATTGTAGGGTTAACTTGTGTTGTCATCTTCTCGCTCTTTGGTGACAGCATTGTACATACCACCACCTTGCTAGGCTTGTACGTTTTACATATTGGAGAATTGCATGTAGTCAGAGGAGACGTGAAGTTTCAACTCTCGTGAACTGACCCTGTCTTCAGTACATGTTAACAAAATCAGTGTCCTTATCACAACAAGTAGCTGGACAAAAGAAGCCCTGTGCCTATAGTCTCTATGTAAAGTCAAACGATAATGAGGAAAGGGTGACCGAGTGAATGTACGCTGTAACATATATTTTTTAAATAAATTACCGTATAATAAGTATTTTTTTCTGTATTTTGTATCACTGTTAGGATGAAGCTCTAAGTCGTGTGATTGATGAACGGGATGATGTTGCTAAGCAACTCAAAGATTTTAAAAGTAAAAAGAGCAACTCATCTTCATTGTATATTGGTGATGATTTGCCAATCTGGGAAGTTTTGAAACCCGCCAAAAAGGTGACAAACAATGGGAATACTTTGTTAATCGTATTATATTAAGGTAGCAATGGGGGTAAAATGTCTGAATCACAGATCAATTTTAACACATTCTCTAAAAGTCACTAAGCATTAGAAGTGTTTTTTCTCCATGTAAATTGAAACATAGCATGCTAGGCAAAACTGTCTTTGTTTCGATTGGTAGTAGTTTATCAACCAATCTCTAACACAAGCACACATGTATCACATACTGGATTATTGGTGTTGAGCGTCATCTGAAAAACTGTTTTGTTGCAAATGTTCTACTAAATTTGTTTATTCATTGGTTCAATTATTTTTTTACTGAAAATGGCTTTCTGTGTTTACATAGAGATCACGTGACTATACACGTACATACACGCACTATCTTGTCATTTTGTATCCAGTGTGAAATAGGCTTTCCATCAATATATAACTTTGTTTGGTTCAGTAAATATTTTATATGAAAACATCAGTTTAGAAAATCAATACCAAAAACGTATACATCATCCTTAATGCTGTTATTTTGTTATAAAATAGTGTAAATGTCAATGTTTTAAATGATTGATTTAAATCAGACATTTTCCCACATTGCAGCAAATCACTATAACAGTGTTTTAAATTTTGTTCATTTTCAATAGTCTGAAATATTGGAGGTGTTAAGAGAGAATATGGAAGAAAGTTATCGACAAAAGCAGTATTTAGATCAGCTCTATGCCTTGGTGTTGGAAGAAGCTCCATTGCTACTGGAACAGATGGACCAAGTGTTTGATGAAGAGTAAGTCGTCGTTTAAAGTTTGTACAGCTTCTATTCAAGTATTGATTATTGTGTGGTATAGCGCCCTCCATTGCCAAACATGTATATATAATTGTTGTGCCAGTTCTACTAGACATTTTGAACTGTTGTTTTTCAATTTGCAAGTGCTGACACATAGTACTTTTGCCACAGTAACCATATTCGGGACTACATGACAGGAAAGTACAGCCATCTCTCTATCATGCCATCAGCGAGCACCTGCAGACCTTAACCAAGTTCCCCTATGTAACGTTTATTAGTGAATGAACATTATTACTCAATTATCATACAAATTTGTATGTGATAATATTCAAACTTGTTTTTCTATGTATCTTACAGGGACCTATCTGGTGATGAGGAGTTCTGCTGATGTCAGTATCAAGTGTAGGATGCAATGATTAATACCATCATCATATCTACTAATATCTGCTGTGCTGCCCTCACTGTGTTATAATAACAGAGTGCAGGATTGTATTTAGTTACTTGATTGAATTTATGTGGAATAATTAACCCCTACTATAGATCATTTCTACTGCTAACGGACAGACAAAAAACGAACACCATTACTACGGACTGAGTCGTCGATTATCAGTATTATATGACTAGACATTTTTTTTCTAATACATCAGCATTACCACACAAGTTTCAACTTAACCAGTACTCCCTCATTTCCAATACTGCCCTCTCCTCTCCAATACTGTCCCCTTCTCTCCAATACTACCCCCTTCTCTCCAATACTGCCCCCTCATTTCCAATACTGCCCCTACTCTACAATACTGCCCCCACCTCTCCAATACTGCCCCCTACTCTACAATACTGCCCCCTCCTCTCCAATACTGCCCCCTACTCTACAATACTTCCCCTCCTCTCCAATACTGCCCCCTCCTCTCCAATACTGCCCCTACTTTCCAAAACTCCCCCTTCTCTCCAAAACTGCCCCCTTATTTCCAATACTGCCCCTCCTCTCCAATACTGCCCCTCCACTCCAATACTGCCCCTCCCAAATACTGTTTATCCGTTGTTGTGTTTAAGATCGTCATCATCTACGCATTAAAGATGGTTTTCCCATAACATATTTATTTGCAATATAACTAATATACTAATTATGTACTATGTTACTCACTGTAGTAATTTTTTAAAGTTTCATTATCAAAATATGCTATTTTATGTATTTAAACAAATTTTAATGTCTTTTTTTTAACCAAATAATTATTATAATTTTACTAATGTAAATTAATTTGTTACCAATTTTTTAATGTTTGACACAAAATTATATTATTCATTCAATGAAGGGGCCAATTTTATCTCTATGCATATTTATTCAGATTACAGGGCCATTAAAAAAAACAAGGACACCAATGATTAACTGTTTCAAAAGTGCCAATGTTGCCAATCATTATTAGTTTCCATGCCAACCATGTCAGGGTAAAATAATTGTCAAAGTGTAATATTTTGGGTCTAGTCAACTGTTGTCACTTTTCACAAAAGAAACCAGCATTTTGTTTTTTAACAATTTTTAATAAAAGTGTTGCAAACTACAGCCAATGTTGAAAATATTTCATTTTTGGTCCAAAATGAACTAATTTTTATCAAAGTTAACACCAACTGTGGCATTCAAGTACTTCCTGTGTTACCAGAAACAAACTCACTTTAGTTCACTTAATGTCACATTAATTACATCTGTATGTTTTCATGCATAAGAAGTAGAAACAGGGTTTTAGGCGATGTTACCGGTACCTCAAGTCTTTTATTCAATGATTTGGATGAAATGTTGCATGTACGTGCAAATCAAAACTTATAGTCTTCAGAACACCTGGTGACCGAGTCAGATACTTATTTGCTCTATTACGGTAGTAGCACATCTCTAAGAAGTGTCAATTAACCCCTTGAACACTAAAGTATTATAAAATCTGTATTAGAAACCCCAGCTTCTATTAAAATGATACAATGCAACAGAGGGGATGTGGCTTCTATTAGAGCATCTACACATATGAGAAATGGTGAATTTTTGGTTCTTAATTATTCCAAAATAATGGGTGTGATTTCTATTAGGGAAGCGGCTTCTAATACAGATTTTACGATACTTTTTCATTACTTTTCATACAAAAAACTAATTTATTTGATACAAATTATAGAAAAATGCATAAATGTTACCTGAATTACTATCTGAATTGTGATGGGGGGAAAAAACATGACAAAAATTTATTTATGTTGGATAATTAGAATATGACCATAAACACACCTTTCGTAAGTGATTACCATACGAATAGAACAGTTTTAGTATTGTGGAGACATCTCAAAAAAATTATTAAATGTTGCATTATGTACTTTTTCTATTAATAGCCCATGTGCTAAAGGTGTGTCTATAGTCAAAATAAGTCGTACACATTTTAATGATCCATTATACAATTTATGTGTGCTTCTATTGGAGATGCTCTCCTATATAGGGTATTTGGTTTTAAAGTACTGTAAAATACTTTATTTTCGCTTGGAATTTATTTTCGCTATTTTCGCTGAAAGGATGATTCCGTGAAAATAAAATCCAGCTAATATACTTTTTTTCCCATATTTCACATTAAACTCATCAAAAATCAGTGAAAATAAATTCCATACAAAACGCCCAAAAAACCTTTTCAGCGAAATTAATTCCAGCGAAAATAAAGTATTCCACAGTATTAGTTGTCCCACCATGTTTTGTTCGATATAGAAACTATAGCGATGTACATACATTGTTTATGTGAAACTCCAGCTGCGCAAGGACTGTAACAATTTGACAAATTGCAATGCAATTGCTGGCTTATTTATTATATTGTGTGTTTTGTATTTATATGTCTTCCATATCACCATTATTCACACCATATCTTCGTGGTGTGTTCATATTCAATTAATTTATTCTTGACATAGTCACTATCCAAGTATTATATATAACCTGCGATGCAAATCATTTTCATGGAATTAATTCTGAAAATTGTTTTATCTTTCAATAACGAGGCAAACATGGATAGACTCTGTGACTGGATGCCGTACGATTCACAGGAAATTGTGTTTTATTTAATTGTGATTTGATGTGAAATTGTCAGTTGAAGCATTTAATACAAAGCAGAATTTGGTATGTCAAAAAAAAACTTGTGAAGGTGCTTCCTGATTGGCTACCATACCAATCATATTAGTGAAACACTGCAAAAATCCTATAGTTTTTTTATCGACAATTTCAAACGTAACATAATAGTCCCAGGTCCTCTATGAATGCTGGAGAATAGCCTTGACTGGTTTTACACACAACAGGAAAGTTTATGAAAAGCAGCTTTAACAAGATTGCGCCGCCAATCAGAATGCAGTTGGTTTGTTGACGCATCAAATTCTGCCTTGTATGCTGTGAAATTTATATGCAAATTCTTAAGAGCAAGGCTTTTAATGTGTCGGGCTCTATTTTTATAATGTGGTGCAATTAATTACTTTTGTAAATAAATTAAAATCATTTTTTATCACTTTGTGTAATTTTGTTTTAATCCATACAAGCAGAGAGACTCTAGTGGTAACAGAAATGAGCTTTGATGCTGCCTCCAATGTCACTAGAAGTTCATAGACTGACAAAACTAGCATACCATTAAGAAAATGATTGCTTATCGGCCATTTCCGATGCAAAGTTTGTCAGCCACATGTCTAGGAAACTAATTTTAGACACACAAAGCCTCAACATGTCCATATTTTATGAACATTTCGTATAAATCCAAAATTAATATGCAAGCAATGTGCATCCATGTTTAACAAAATCAGATATCCAATTATCATACCAGATAAGAATTTTATTTGAGTCTAGATCATTTTGAAAATTGTAAAAAAAGGTTTACAATTCAGTATTAAATCTCTGTAATCACTGTTCTAGTATTACATAATCTGTACAAAATTAAAAAAAAAACCGAACTTAATTTACGAATTATTGTCACATTACAACTATATGTCCCATAAGAATACAACATAGAATAGATTTTTTTTTGGCAGTTTGGAGTGAAAATAAATCGAGTGATACTACCCAGAATGCATCACAGGGTTGTCTAACTAACCCTACTAAATTTATAAACATAAATTGGCGTCACAGGTGAGCTTGTAAAAATAATATGACTTTTTTTAAATTCTTTTTATCTGTTCAAGTTAAAAGCATGATAAATACAATAGTTTATTTTGGATGAAAAGACTTTTTGGATGTTGTGTATAGAATTTATTTTCACTGATTTTTGACGAGTTGAATGTAAATTATAGGAAAAACAGGTACATTCACCAAATCTTTTTACTTGCTGAATCATTCCTTCACGAAAATAACTTCTGCGCAAAAATAAAATATTTAACAGTATATTATTGTAAATCCAATAAACCAAACATACTGCATGTAGTATAAATATCAATGTTGTAATCACACTTGAGAATAAGATAAGAGATAGACTTGTCATTTTCTACAATACTCTCAGATATCAAAATAGTTTCTCTCGGTTGTACGTACAGATGAATGTTTCACGAACAGCTAATCAAATTTTGAAAGAAAATAACATAATTAAAAAATATGACAAGCGCATAAAACATTTTATGCACATACATAGTATTTTGCACAGTCTGCTCCCTCCCCACATGAAATATTGATAATGATTGACAAACCTTTTGATCAAAAACTAAAAACAATATCTGAAAATGTCTGTATGACCCAAAATGGTGATGAACTTTACTGAAAATTTTACAAAATTTAAAAATATTTGGACAGCGGATTGAATTTCTGGTAGACCAAGGTGTGTTCAGTCAAATGAATCTTATTATAATATAATTCAAGAAGGGTTGAATGGCACTCCCTATTGAAGATGCACATACCATGCTTAATTTCAAATGTTAAATTTAACAGGTGTTAGTTTTGTCACTGATACAAATTCATTGTAACTGGAGCTACGTTACATTCAAAGGTTCTCATCTTCGGCAATAAAATGATACGTACACAGCAACTTTGAGAGGATATTGAATTGGGTTTAATATTATTAATATATACACATAATTATCTATCTTGTTCGTCAATGAGAGGAGTGGCATCGCCAGCTGCTGGTGTACTCGTAGGACTGTCCTCTGGCTTGTCTTCGGCTTGTTTTCGACTGGCCCACTGTGCTGCAGCTTTAGCCCAGTCCATAGCTTCTGCTGACTGGGTGGTCCTGCAATTTAATATAAACAATTTATACTGACATGTGGGCAACCCAGAGAAAATTCTAATTCTGTAAGCTGCTTCAATTTCAAGCAAGACAAATTTTGAATTCTGCAAAACTGCTTTAATTGTGAATGACAGAAATTTTGAATTCTGCAAACTGGACCAATTTTGAATTCTGTTTTTTGTAAGCCGCTTCAATTTTAAACTCCCAAGCTGCTTCTATTTCAAGCAAGACAAGTTTTGAATTCTACAAGTGTTTCACTTTGTGAGTCAGACAAGTTTTGAATTCTACAAGTGCTTCAATTTGTGAGTCAGACAAGTTTTGAATTCTACAAGTGTTTCACTTTGTGAGTCTGACAAGTTTTGAATTCTACAAGTGCTTCACTTTGTGAGTCAGACAAGTTTTGAATTCTACAAGTGCTTCACTTTGTGAGTCAGACAAGTTTTGAATTCTACAAGTGCTTCAATTTGTGAGTCAGACAAGTTTTGAATTCTACAAGTGTTTCAATTTGTGAGTCAGACAAGTTTTGAATTCTACAAGTGTTTCACTTTGTGAGTCTGACAAGTTTTGAATTCTACAAGTGCTTCACTTTGTGAGTCAGACAAGTTTTGAATTCTACAAGTGCTTCACTTTGTGAGTCAGACATGTTTTGAATTCTACAAGTGCTTCACTTTGTGAGTCAGACATGTTTTGAATTCTACAAGTGCTTCACTTTGTGAGTCAGACAAGTTTTGAATTCTACAAGTGCTTCAATTTGTGAGTCAGACAAGTTTTGAATTCTACAAGTGCTTCACTTTGTGAGTCAGACAAGTTTTGAATTCTACAAGTGCTTCAATTTGTGAGTCAGACAAGTTTTGAATTCAGCAAGTTGCTTCAATTTTCTATAGGACAAATTTTGATTTGTGAGCAACAGAGAAATGGACGATGCATACCTTTGTGGAGTACTTCTGGGTCTTGTAATAGTTTGTACTGGTTGGATGTGTTGCACCGGTTGCACATTGCTAGGTGGTGGGGCAGTAGGAGCGGCAGCATGAGACGGCACATGTGCAGGTGTAGCCCAACTCTGTCTGGGTGTAGGCTGATACTGCGGTGTCTGAATGGGATTTGTCTGTGGCGTAGCCATAGGGTAAGATGGAGTCATCAGAGGCGTGGCGATTGGATTTTGTGGAGTGGCAAATGGCTGTAAAATAAAACCATAAAATAAGATATCAATATATATGTGCCTCCTTAGAGAAAAACAAATTACAGGATGATAAAACCTTATTGCGAGACAGGTTTATCTCAGGATTAATTAATATTTGTAATTTTATACACTGCTACATTTAAAATTTTCTGTAGTTTTTGTCATGTGACTCGGTGTTCTCATAAATTTAAACCACTGTAGTGGTAAAAATGTACAAACTAATTTACATACATTTGCATATTATTTGCATAATTACAAAAAGAAATTAACCTATGATACTCAATAACACAGTGCACAAAATTAAACAGTAGTGTTACAACTACACATCAATTAGATTTAAATCAGCAGAAGCACAGCGGAAATAGCACTGTGGTCAGGAGAATGACTGCGACAGAGCAGACCAGTGTGGTCAGGAGAATGACTGCGACAGAGCAGACCAGTGTGGTCAGGAGAATGACTGCGACAGAGCAGACCAGTATGACAGTAGGGCCATGCTGTCAGTTTGTATCCTTGGGAAATCACTGTGACTGTTCTATAAAACAGGGGTCGAAATAATCTGGTACACACTGCACAGATTATAAGCTAGTGCAGGTAAACTCGTAATTGTGCACGCTGTGCATGTAGAAATTAACACAACATTTTCTCATATTCACTAAGCCTAAATTCAATTCAACCAACATTGTAAGACAACTCAAAAAGGAAATTCGTTTGTGATCAATCGAGCCCCCATAAATTTTATTTAAACTTTAAAAGTGGTGCATTTCACAACAAGTTAGTGCAGGTATATTATAATTCAACGTGCACACTGTGCATGCAGGTAAAAAATTGCAATCCATGTAAAACCATATGATTTCACATCTTTCAGTAAACTAAAAGGCTGCATCGAAGTTAGCTTTTCAGCTGTTTTTAAAACTACTTTGCTCATGAGGTGCTTCTAACAAAGGCAAGTTGATGCCAAGGTATTGACTGAATAGTATCAGCACAGAATAGTCATCAATTGTCCCACCAAATCTGCTGCAAACAAAGTTTGTTATTAGAAGAGGTTGTGTATATGGAAAATGAATACTTACCTGGTTCCTTACTCCAGAATATGAACCATACTGACTGGTGCCAGCTGTAATCAAGGGTGTCTGATTTGATTGTTGCTGACCTGTCATGTTAGCAATGGCTGAATAGACATGAGGAGGGAATGCACTGATGGCTTTCTGTAAAAGACTGGTGTCCACATCTGTGAAGTAGAATTAATCACATTGTAAACAAATAATCAAAGTAACCAGCACAAGTACATAATAGGCAGTATAATTAAGTGGAGGAAAAAAATAACCAGTTTGATAAAAATGGTCTGAACATGTGTACTTAGCTGTTCAGTTTCAACTTGAAATCAACTAATATTCGCAGAGATTATTACTGTTACAGTATTTGTTCTATTAAAAGTAAATCTCAAATAGAAACACTTAAAATTGCATTTATTGTATGCTGATCACTATTATTTTGACCATGGATATGGCTGTTATTTTCATAAATGTATGCGCCGATTATACATAATTGTACTTCCTTTCTTTCTTTCAAGTTTGTTAGCCTAAAAAAAATGCAAACCTCATTCTCGGAGAACTTACTTGCTAAATTAAAGCTGCTTGCTGGAGTGTTTTCTGTCCTGACAGACATTGGTGTAGCAGATGAAGGTGTTACACCTGAAACAAAACAGTTTAAATTCAAGACATGTGACATACAACAATCACACTTGGTAACTTACAATGTGATATTGATGACAGACATGCGTTGTCAATAGTGTTACATCATATGGACATACATCATTTACTATTTATTGAGGACACATTTTTATTTTTGATCCACTTCATGGTTTGGTGACACTATAGCATGAATTATTGTTTAGTAAAATTTTTTACTGGCATTTAGATTCACTATTAGAGCATATTTACTGGGTTTTAAAACAGGAGGGTCGTCACCTGTGCAAGCATGGGAATTGAGTCCCAAGCGACGATAACAACACAGGCTAAAAACACAAAGGCTCATGGGTAGACGCTTGTTTGTAAACAATGGCAAGCTATGGCCATCTGACGCATGCACAGGTGACAACTCCCCTTTTTAAGTTCACTAACTTGGCAGGGAAACAGTTAATTCTATTGTTATGTTCGAATTGATTTAATTTAGCGAATTTTACTTATCGGTGCAGGTTATGTAGCACTCACACATTTGAAGATGCTAGAAGTGAGTAGAAACAGTTATACTATTACTATTACCTGGTATTGGGTCCCTAAAGTGCTCTTTAAACCATTTCAACAGAGAGTTGAGTGACGACTGCATTCGCTGCCTGTATCGAAACCCATCGGGCGTAATCGTCACATACTCCATCCGTGGTTTAACCCTCGGTTGGTAAAAGAGTACAAACTTCCCCGGATATTCCCGTGCCATGGACATAAAATATGGAATCTTGGAAGGAGCTTTTTTCTTTTCAACCATAAGAATTTTACTAAGTATCTCCTTCTTGCCACCTTCTGTGTTCTTGTAATACTTGTGTTGCAGAACGTCACGAGCAAATGATGACATCGGTTGGATGTGTCTGGCGATGATTTCATCCAAATCCTCAAACTCCTGAGTTAAAAAGTAAAAAACAGAAATTGAGCCCACTGAATGTAGAAAACTAGTACATGTATGTAACAAAATTACTGTGGAATACTTTATCTTCGCTTGGAATTTATTTTTGCTATTTTTGCTTAAGGTAGCAAGAGGGGAAACATAATTTATAGTTTAATGGAGTTTAGGACTTTCCTCACCAGTTACTAAGCATGCAGTTATGGCAATGTATATGTTTTCAGAAAGCTGAGATATAGCAGAATACGATCATACATGTTTCGTCTTGATATTTGCTCAGGAGATTAAGTTACGATCGTTCTCGTTAACCTCCTAAACATAGAGTTTTTTTGCGGGATTGGCTGTTTCTCGGTGTTCCTTTTTTCAATGTTTCTGATCTTTTCACTGTTGCTTTATAAGATAATGATCTTTGAGAATGCATCTCGAAATTTTTATGTGCCCCATAGTTCTGGAGATAAAGCCTGTTGAACTTTATGAACTAAATTTTACAAATGTCTTCCTGTTCCCAAGGGTGTAACTCAACGTCAACGGCTCACATAAATGACCATGAGACATCATATTTTAGCCAATTTTGTGGCGAATAGATTGTGTAATTTATACATCGTTAGCGTAGAGAAAAGTGTTGAAAAATGACATCTTCAATAGTTATAATAGTCAAAAATTAGTTTTTGTAAAAACTCAATAAAACGTTTTTTCGAATTTGGCCACAGATAAACAGCTAATTAATGACAAAATGTCGACCATTTCGATCATACTTTGTAAATATACAAGTATCTGATATGCATGGAAAGTTAGATCGTGAAAAATTGGTTGGTTGTTTCCTAAAACGTGACAAAACTTCGTCGAAAGTAGGTGCTAACTTGAGCAAGATGGCGTACCGCGCAATTAATTTATTCAAGTCCCTTTGTTATGTTGAACAGCGTCAACAGTACAATCGGCTCTCTAAACATAGGGCGGGCCTTCATGACAGCATATATTTACTTTACAAGATATACATGCCTTCAAGTACAGATATGTTTGCATATGTGGACCAAAAGATCGCCCGGGCGATGGTTATGGCAGATATTACGAAGCCCATCTTGTCTGAAAAAATAACCCTGCGCTGATAAAAATGGTCTCAGAAAATGTTTAGAAAAAATAATGTTTCGTGTTGACCAAATATAATCATTCAACGTATAAATTCAAAGTGTTTTAACATGTTGGTGAGAGGTCACATTTTACGTGAACAAGAACATGCACTAAGAAGGAAAAGCAAGCCAAAGTCGAAACGGGGTGCATCATGGACATGACACAACACACGATGCGACAACTGGGTGATCAGTGACATCATTTTGGGGTGCAATTGAACTTCAAGTACTTCTTTGCGAAACTTGCTGCGCGGCGATGCTGACATCAAGTGTATGTTGACCAAAATTTGACTCCAAATCACGCACTGAACTGGCGCGTTATCTTAGCAACCTTTTTCTTTCATGCTCCGCGCGTCGATCTAGTAAACTTATATCCGACGGTACTGTAATTACGCAACTTGTATGCAACTCTGTACTTTGAATATATCAACATCGTTTACTTGGTGCACTGCTTTTCTAATTACGCAAATTTATTTTTAATATTGTAATAGCTCTGAATATTTCAACTTTGTAATGTATTGCTTACATGATAAGTACGCAAAATTCATTTTATCTTTGACTATTGTTAGGGCACTGACCCGGG